GTGATATACGTACTGAATTATGAATGGAAAATTACGAATATCAAAATATATTCAAAATAATCCAATAATTAATTTTTAGAAATTTTATTTCAGGTGTACTGGAACTTCCTCATATATATATTAGCCCAAAAAGAAGAAGGACTTGTGAACGCTATGTTCAAGCCACTTTTTTCTAAATTTCGTATTATAGGTCCTTTGAATGCTAAATCAATTAATTTTTTTTTTTTGCTGTAAAAACCTCATAGGATTGTCGATACCATTGAAAATATAGAATGACTACCGAAAATTCCTTACATCGGTTGTATACCAATAATTCGTAGCATTATTTTAAGATTTTTTGATGGCATTTTCTTGATTAAAAATTTAATACCATTTCATTCGATCTAATTTATGTACCATTTAAATGTGTATCTAAGAAATATTTTTGATTGAAGGAGAGTTTTGAAATTAACTCACTCAATTTTTTTAACTCATAAATTTTTATTCGGATCAAGGACTACTAAGGGAATATTTTAACTTTCTTCATTAATGTTCACGGTTGAGTTGATATTATATATGGGATAGTTATCGAATAGGCACATTTTTTCAAGTGTATAAAAATTTCAAAAATCCTAATTTGGCCATTGAATCGGAAAATTTGCCATAAACTATATTTATTCACCCTGTGACCCCATCCAGAATACTGGACATTCCCCGGCCAATATGGAAAACCACATTTCATGCCAATTATTGCTTAATTCGAACAATCATTTGAAATTCTTCTGGAAAAATAAAAATAAATTAAAAAAGAAACCAAAAATCTTTTTAATTTTCAATGACCTCAAGCCGGAAAAACGAATAAATAAAAACTAAAGTTCTTCTGGGCCCTCATAATTAAAAAATTGATTTTGAGACTAAAAACCATTTGAAGTGATAAAAAAGTCAATTGGTTCATTATCCACTCCTGGGCACTTATAATAAAAAAAAACTTGATTTTGAGACTAATACTGCTCTATGGACATGTAATTAAATAATCAGTTTAAATTCTCGCAAATTTCCACATTTAGGCCACCTTGAAAAAAATACTAATACGAACACATTCATATATGTTCCCGGAGAATATTCAAATAGGTCGAGATGTTATGTTGCAAGTCCAGAATCTATCTGAATTAAGAATGTTGACCACTGAAGGCGAAATATATTTTTATTTATTTATTTCAAAAAATGGTATTTGAAGACTTAAAGGCAGATTTTAATAAAATTGCAAAAATACGAAAATCAAAGCTTGATCAATTCTGACTACATCTGTACCGGCAGAGTAGCCTTGCAAAGCAATTGAAATGACAAATAAGTAATTTCGTCTTCGGAGTTACACACAGGTTTTATAATTCGTTTTATATAAGGTATATATTTTTATAAAAGAGGTTTCGGATTAAAGGTTGATCATATCGGTTATTCAATTAGCTTCAAATTAAATTTATAAGTCTATAAAATATTGACCCTTTTGGGGAGGATACCATAAGGAGAGCACCAGCGGGTTCTACCTCTGGACTTACTCTGGACTTGGTAACCATAATAGGTTGTGTAAAGTTTGGTTCAAATCTGACATTCCATTTGCATGATATTGGATTTAAAAATATTTAAAATTTTTACCATTGTGGGGGATGTATCAGAAGGAGTGGACCAATGGGTCCCATCTTCGGACTTGATCTAGGCTTGGTAAAGATAATATGTTGTGCAAAGTTTAGCTCAAATCGGATAGTCAGTTCACATGATATTATAAAATTAATAATTCGCACAATTTTCACCATGGTAGAGGTACTAGAAAAAGTGGACCGATATTCGCCATCTTTGAACTTCAACTATGTTTGTTAGAAATAATACGAAGCCGGTCAGACAGACGGACGGACATTTGTAAATCGAATCTAAATTTTCTGAAATGGATTTGGTCCAAATAAGCATGGGGTTTAAAACCAATATTTCGATGAGGCACATTTTTACCGTATCAAAGTGTATATTAGCCATAGGGTATAAATATGTAGAATCTGGATTGCCTAATTATATCTACTTCATTTGCTTATGACCATGAAAAAAATTGTCACAATGCCGAAAATGGGACAGTAGCGTTATATGGGAGCTATTACAAAACTTGAAACTTGAATATAACCCATTTTTTATACCAAATATTGTACGATTAGTAGCAAATGTATGCCACTTTAAATCTCTATCTTGATAATTGTGATCTGTATTGTGATTTCAGATCGAAGGACTATTAGGTTTCCAACGAAAGTTTCGGGTGTTGCAAATAAAATGGTCACTTAACCTTATGGTGGAGGGTGTAAACATGGGCAAATATGATGTTTTTTAGGGGACAAAAACCAATAGACATCGAATTCGTTAAGACCCGCATATGGGAAATCACTTTCATGTAGGTTTCTAAGATCAATTCAATTATTTTCAGGGGGTTTGGAGATGTTCACATAAATAATACAAACACGAATATCGACAATTTTCTACCAAGCGGATCTCTATCAATTCTCAATGTTGATATCCCTATTTCTATATTTTGTTCAACATTTGAGGACATTGTTAATGACTTCATGGTCAAATAGAATGTGCCTTCTTTGGTCCCGAATCGACCCTTATATCTTCATTAACAAAAAATCACATCAGAATTGTTATATTTTCATAAGGATTATGAATTATCAGATGAATTAAATGGCTATAGGGACCTTCAAAATTAGCGAAGTATTATCATTAATTGTTTTTACTATCAGAATTCCCACATTTGAATTATTATATTGCTTAAGAATTCCTTATACATAGAATATCGTTTAGATGTCCTCTATTGGTAAACAATCTTTGAAAATCTTGTATGGGTATAGGTACCTTAAAAATGCCGAATTATTATCTTTAATAGATTTTTTCATATTTTATGAATTTTTACAATAATTGATTTGGATTAGAATAACCAGTTTGGAGTTATTATTGAAAGGTTCCTTTAGGGGGAAAATGTGGAAAAAATCAGGGAATTAGCGGTCCAATCGAAAATGTAAACAAATTCGAAAATATGAACTACACCGACATTAATTAGTTCACATTATTGAGAGCTCACACTGTTTTGAATGTTCACATTATTAAGAGTTCACTGTGTTATTTATCTGTATAATCAAATTAATAATCATAATAGATTTTTCATATTTTTTTGGAATTTCCACAATAATGAGTTTGAATTATAATAACCAGTTTGGAGTTATGTAGACACTTTTGATACTACAAAAATCGGCATCAAATTACAAAACATTGATTATTGATATTGACAGGGATCAAGAGGTCTTCAGCAATCTGTTTGTCGATGACAAAGCTCTTTGCACAGCAAACATAAAGTTGTACACTTTATTTTACATAAATATATATATATATATATATTATATATATATGTGTGTGTTATACTGTACATAAATAATCAGAATTTTAATTTATAGAACAAATTTTTATACATAAAATTTTCCATTCAGAATTCATCGAGGATCACTTCCTCGTTTCTTTATATAAATATTTTTACTTCAACTCAAACTCTATTTCTCTTTACAATATCTCTCCATAATAACTCTATATCTCTAACTCTCATCTAATTTTCAAAATTTTGGTTTTAATATAATATTTCAACATTTAAGAATTTCTTGGGTGTATTTAGCTTTCCTTTTTTAATATGTTTGTTTTTGAAATACTTTTTCTTTTTGCTTGTTTGCAGTAGTTGTTGTTACTATTGATTTTTCATTCATTCTTTGTAAATTGCATTCGTTTTAATTAAATATAGTATATGTATATGGTAATTATTTATGTAATTTCTAACACATTCATTCTTGTTTAATTATTATTGTTTAATAATGCTTTTCTGTTAACATAAAGGGGGAAAGTTCTCAATTGCATGAATTCTTTTTCCCCATGATTCAAAGATCCATTCACATTCGTTATGTATTTCGTTATGCCTTATACAAGAGAAAAAGGCTATCTATATATGGGCATAAACGTTTCTTTTTTGTTATGGATTTGTAAAGAACAATTATATTTTTTACTGATGTTTTGCTTTTTTATTATTTTTATTTTTTTTTCTTAAATATGGTTGTAATAATATTGTGTAGTATTATTATTTTTAATTTTCAACAAGGATTTTTCTGGTTCCATTTTCTTATTGGAAAGCTTTAAGCTTTATTAAAAAAATAATAAACATAAAAACAAAAAAATTTTAAATTACTAAAATTTGGTTTGGATTGGGTAGCTAGGTATGTTGGTAATTAGGTAAAGGTGTTTTTGTTTTTGAAAACAAAACCAAAAAAATATATAAGGTTTTAAGCATATTTTATTTTTGGAAAGAGAGATACGGTACGAACACAACTTGAGCTTATTTTCCTAAAATAATTTCATTATGTTGTGTATAAAAGTATTTCTTGTACAAAATAACAAAATGGAGTTTTTATTTTCATTACGAAAACAACAAAACGAATAGAAGAGAAAAATAAGAAGACTTTTGTTACCAATACTCGGCGGGCTGGCTTAAAGTTTTGTTTATTTTTTTTTTGTTCATATAAACAAATTTAGAAAAAATAAATGTATTGGAGTTTACTTTTTGTGTTTTGTTAAAAACCACAAAACAACAAGGAGTAGTAGTTTTTAAACCCAAAAGAAAAATGTCTACACAAAAGCCATTCATCATCATTCAATCTATTGGAAAATCATAAAAAAACAAAGCATTTCTTCTTTACAAGAACAACAACAATAACAAAATGTCTCTTTTGTTGTTGTTGCCTGTACTTTTTGTTGTTGTAGGCTCTGGCTTAGTTTAGCATATTGTATTAAGCAAACCCTTTTTTAATTTTTTGGTTCTAAAAGGTTTTTGTTTAATTGTTGTAGAAGAAGAAGAAATTTTGTTTTTTTATATCTCACAAAATTAATGTTTGTGGTAATCACCCCTCCTCCTCCGTAGACGGGCGATATTCTCACATTTGAACAATTTTGTTTCAATACTCCATGGAGTAGTTGAGGTCTTAAACACCCACAAAACCATAGACTTCAAGGACACGTATTTCAAAATCACCCGACGGACACAGCGGTGGATTGTTGAATGTTTTACAGCTATCGGTTTTGCCAAAGCGTATATTTTCATCCATCCAAATAGCTTGGCCCTCACTGTAAGAAAAAGGAAATTGTTTAAATATTTGTTTATACATTGAAAATATTTTATTGTGAACATACCCTCCTCCAATGGTAATCATTTTCGAATCGGCCGCCATAAACAATTCTGAAGCATGTCCCAAATCTTTGTCATTTTCAATACCCACCCATGGATATTTGGCTCTTTCGGGATATAGAGAGAATAAGAATGTTTCACCCGTACCAAAGTAGGCCTGTCGTTGGCCTTTGTCATCTTTAACATTACGTTCGAACCAACGGGATGAACAATAGGCTCCAAAGACCTGGAAATGGACAAAGAGAAAAAACATTAATTTATGATTAATAATAATAATAAAACGTGGATTTTTTAAAGAATATTTTTTCAAGGACCATTTACAGGCGTGGATTTTTAAAAAAATATTTTTTCAAGGACCATTTACAGGCGTGGATTTTTTAAAGAATATTTTTTCAAGGACCATTTACAGGCGTGGATTTTTTAAAGAATATTTTTTCAAGGACCATTTACAGGCGTGGATTTTTTAAAGAATATTTTTTCAAGGACCATTTACAGGCGTGGATTTTTTAAAGAATATTTTTTCAAGGACCATTTACAGGCGTGGATTTTTTAAAAATATGTTTTCAATTTTTTTCAAAGCCTATTTACAGGCGTCGATTTTTTAAAGGCCATTTACAGGCGTGGATTTTTTAAAGAATATTTTTTCAAGGACCATTTACAGGCGTAGATTTTTTAAAGAATATTTTTTCAAGGACCATTTACAGGCGTGGATTTTTTAAAGAATATTTTTTCAAGGACCATTTACAGGCGTGGATTTTTTAAAGAATATTTTTTCAAGGACCATTTACAGGCGTGGATTTTTTAAAGAATATTTTTTCAAGGACCATTTACAGGCGTGGATTTTTTTAAAGAATATTTTTTCAAGAACCATTTACAGGCGTGGATTTTTTTAAAGAATATTTTTTCAAGAACCATTTACAGGCGTGGATTTTTTAAAGAATATTTTTTCAAGGACCATTTACAGGCGTGGATTTTTTAAAGAATATTTTTTCAAGGACCATTTACAGGCGTGGATTTTTTAAAGAATATTTTTTCAAGGACCATTTACAGGCGTGGATTTTTTAAAGAACATTTTTTCAAGATTGGATTTACAGGCGTGGATTTTTTAAAGAATATTTTTTCAAGGACCATTTACAGGCGTGGACTTTTTAAAGAATATTTTTTCAAGGACCATTTACAGGCGTGGATTTTTTAAAGAATCTTTTTTCAAGGACCATTTACAGGCGTGGATTTTTTAAAGAATATTTTTTCAAGAACCATTTACAGGCGTGGATTTTTTTTAAAGAATATTTTTTCAAGAACCATTTACAGGCGTGGATTTTTTAAAGAATATTTTTTCAAGGACCATTTACAGGCGTGGATTTTTTAAAGAATATTTTTTCAAGGACCATTTACAGGCGTGGATTTTTTAAAGAACATTTTTTCAAGAACCATTTACAGGCGTGGATTTTTTAAAGATTATTTTTTCAAGGACCATTTACAGGCGTGGATTTTTTAAAGAATATTTTTCAAGGACCATTTACAGGCGTGGATTTTTTTAAAAATATCATTCCAAGGACCTTTCGAACTGAACTTTTTAGAATTATAAATTTTTAAGACCTACAGACATCGATGTTTTTTAAAGTATATTCTTTAAAGGTCCTAGAGACCTTAATTTTTTTAAAATAACAGTTTTCAAGGTCTGTCGATTGGGCTCGCAATATTAAAGATAAAGCTTTAAAATTTGCGTATGTTTGGTATTGAAAATCGAACTAGGTTATGGTATAACTTTGATATTTTGAAGGTTTCCGACCAAAGTGACTGTAAACAGGCATTTTTGGTTCGAAGAAGATGTCATAAATCTATATAGATAATGATTAGATTATTAGCTACATTGTCCAACCGAAGTGGATTGCCTTCAATTCGGCATTTCATTTATTCTGAGGAAAAATTTCCTGACAGAAATTTCCGATCGATTTTAGGCGCATTGGTGGTGAGAATAAAAAGTTTCACTGTAGGCTAAACTTTCGTTTTTAATTACTGTCAGGGGATCGGCGAAATTATCTGGATTTTTATTTTTCAATGTCGAACAAATCTCTATACGAACCTGTTGTTAAAAGTCTTGAGAAGACCTTATAATTATTTTCGACACCAAAGGTATTCCGTATAAAAGTCATCTGGAAAGAATTCGTTCTCAAGAAATTCTATCTACGAGGTGTTCTATTTTTTGCTGAATATTTAATCTCCACACTCGTAAAGATCTCACGAATATTTCCTAACCCAAAGGTTTTCGCTATGAAAGATCTTTGGGAGGACTTTTTTAAAAGGTTTCATAACTGGAATGCCCTTTGTCCATGAAAGATCTATACACGTTATTCCTTTATCTTTTACAAGTCTTCTACTCTAGAAATCCTCTATATGGGGTTCTGATTATAATAGAGCTCTTAAAATACTTATTTTTTTAGGCTATAAAGACCATTTTAGACGATAAATGTCTTTGCATAGTTCTACTGTATATTGAAAGTCTTCCGTGAGTAGAAGAGTTTTAATATGTATTTTGTTTATAGGATGCTTCTAAAAAACCTTCTAGATATTCTGACTATTTAAGCCCATTATAAGGTTTTTAAGCCTACTAAAGTCCCTTAGAAGGTATTCTGCCGGTTGAACCCCTCAACTTTTTGTATAAAATCTATGGAAAAGCAGAAATAATTGTTCAGTCTATAAATACCTCTCTAGAAACTTTTCCATTTAACGAGGCCCTCAAGAAGGAATTAGAAAAACTCTAGAAAGAACTATGTGCAAAGTCACCATATAAAGACCTCTATAGGAAGTAGATCTCACACAGGAAGATCTGACTGTCTATAAAAAGTCTTTAGTAAAAAAAATTCAATTTATTGAAGACCTCTAGAAGAACTTCAGAAAGTAGTTTGCCTTTGAAATACTTCTGTAGTGTATTCAGCTTGTGGAATTACTTATTAGAGGTTTTTCAAGCAAAGATCTCCCGAATGTATTCTGTCTCTAGAAAACTTCATAAAGATTTTACATCCATTGAAGACCTTGTAAGGATATTTCATCACAAGAAGACCCTTGAAAATTTTCCCATCTGCCTGTACAACATGTATGAAATAGATTCAAAGGCATTCAAAAGTTCCATTCTAAAAATGCACATTATCATCCTCACCTATTACCAAAGAAAAATAATTAAAATATACATTTTAATATTGTATGTCAAAACTTACCTCATTATTGCACGTTTTTATCATCATCAGTGTCGGTTCATGCTGTTCAACGCGAACATAGAAAGTTGTCAAGGAGCAGCCATGTTCCTCGGTGGTATACAATAAGACGGGTTGATACATTGTTATTCGCACAGGAAGCCATGACCATAAGGTAAACAACTGTATATGAAAAAAATACGTAATTAATAATTTTGCAACAAAAAATTGCAATTAAAAACTTCGAATAAAGAAAACAGGGGAACAAACACACACAACGTAACAATAAAAATAAATCATAAAAGAAGAAAAAACTTAAACAATATATGCACATTACATGCGATAAAAAAAACTAAGCATTCTTTAATAAAAAACAAAACAATATTCATAAACAAAACAATATTAAATAATATATGCTAGCTTAATTAATAGTTTATATTATTTAAAAAGAAAGTAATTTCATTAAAGCAATTAAAAATGGATTAATTAAAAGTGTTTTTGTTTGTTTAAGGAAAAGACAAGAGAAGGATTCAAATTTATTATTATTTTATATTTTAAAATTTCGAAATAATATGGCGAGGATTCAATTTTAATATTTTTTAATTTCGAAATAATACATTTTAAGTAATAAAATGTTGAAATTATTTTTATAATTATAGATATTTATATTATCTAAAATTATTATATATTTTTCATTTTTGTTAAATGTACAAATTTTCTTGACTCCTTCCCTTGTCGTTAATTGTTGTGGTTGTTGTTTTATTGTATAGTGTGATATTTTGTGTACTTTTGTTTGTTGTTCTTTTTGTTATTGGGGTCAAGTTTTATAAACAAAAAGTGTAAAGATCATATGCAAATGTCTGCATTTTGTTATTTCGTAGGATTCTATGCTTAGATTTAATATTCATTTGTTATTATTGTTGGTTTTGGGATCGGCACGTACACATTGGACGAAAGAAAACAAACTCCGATGACATGGGGAGAATGAACGAAGTAACGAATATTATACATATATTCCAATTTGCTTACATTAAATCTTTCCTGAATAAATTTTATTAAACTTTTAACATCCACTGTATCAAAATTCTATATATTAGGAAGAAATTAAAAGAAAATTTGACTCAATAAATTTAGGGAAACGAATTTATTTGTTTTTAGTTTAGAACTATTTGTTTGGGTTAACAACTTGGTAAACTTATTCTGAGAACAAGAGATAATAGTACTACTGACGAAGAATTTATGTGGAGATAATGAAGACAAAAAGTTATTAATAACAGAAGGGAAGATTTCACAAGGGATAACGCAGAAATGTAGTTACTTTTTTGCTTTGGTTTATAAGTTGGCATTAATGCTTTACAAATTATTAATTATGCTTACAAATATTCAACAATTATTAGAATTAACGAAAGGAGGAAACTGATTGATTTTTAATTCACAAAAATATACCCAACATTTAGGTCGAATTTATATTTATCCCAATTAATTGATAATGTAATTGGTCGTGGTAAATTTTACCTTCAGATATTCTTACAGTAAACATACAATTTGGAGCATACTTTTAGGCGTAGTAAATATAATTAACCTTATGCATTTACCGCCATGGTTATTTCTTTTGAAATGTATATATCTTTGCCAAAAATAGCCACGTTAAAGTGAAACAAAAACGTATTTGAAGCTGAAGTTTTCTATTTGCAGGATTTTGTTGTGTAAGTAAAAGTTCAGATGATTATTATCAATAATTTTATGTTTATTTGAATTGCATCTTCAAAGAACGATTGTGAGCCTTAAACCACATACTGAACACTCGATTTACATATCGCTAAAGAGAATCCGACCTTCCACAAAGAAATTGAAATGATTATTGGGAGATTTCTACAATCCAAGCAATACATTATTATTGCCCCTCAAGGATATAGACAGTGTCTTTTAACCTTTAAATCAAACTTTAATTAAATTCGCTCCCCTTATTAAGTGTAGTCTAATACGCTCCCAAAACATAGAAAGAATAGGAGATAATAAGGAAAAAAAGTACTATGTAGCGGCGATGGGCTGGTGACATGTAGACCTGACACGTCGGATTTTTTCATTAAACTATACTTAGATTGGCTATCTCTGAAATATTCAAGCAGGTACTTCAACGAAAACTTTGATATGTTGATTTACTGGAATTGTTCTGACAAGCCTGAATACTTCTCCATTGCGTATCGTTAATGCCCGAGGAACACACTGACAGTAGACCGATCTTTTTTATAAGAGGTTAATAAGTGCTGCCTTCGAACGACTCGACTGCGACTTAAATGTGACTCCGAAAATCTATGTGGTAAATAGTGTTGTCATAAAGTTCATGAAGGATTTTATTTTAACTTTCCACAAATTGAGATCATAAGGTCATAACGATGATATAGGAGATTAATCTTTCAGATCATATCGTTTCAGCCTAGAGAACGTGGAATGTGTAAAGGTTACATCTTGAACAACTACGGGGATATTATTTCATCTGAATGTACTTCCTGTTTGCAATGTTTTATTCCGGAACTCAATGTACGACTGGTGTCTAAGGATCTTAACTAGTGAGGTATACCCCGGTTCATGATTTGCTACTGGATATAAATTCGTCATCTAAGAAAAAATTGTTATGCTGTAAACAGATAATTTTTAGGCTATAAACAGATTCGTCATGTAAGTGAGGAGTAATTCACTACTAGATACTGAAGTGAAATCACAGGACAAATTTGAAATTTTTGACATGTTTGCTGGCAGCATAACCTAAGCACATTAGGGGTTATTAAAAACGTAACCCATGTTGATGATCTGCTACTGGACATTAATTTTTCATCTGAGAGGTCCCAAGGGTCTTCGATAAATATGAAATCGGTTCTAATGCTTGCAAATTTGCCTGCCTTATACAAATTTGCCAGACTTAGAGGCAAAACCGTACTGTTTGCGGACAGCGTTGCATGACTTCATTAGCGGGTCTAGTAAAACGCCATGTTGATGATCTGCTATTGAACAGCAGAAGGGATAATAACTCAAAGATCTTCCACATACATGCCTAACTTCATTAACGGGTCCAGTAAAACCGTATCCCTTGTTGATGATCAGCTACTGGAGAGTATTCATTTATCTGTTTCAAGAGTCTTCGGGCTTGTAAAATCAGCAATTCTTCGTTTGAATAATGATTCAAAGGTCTTCGATAAATGTAAAATGCTTGCAAATTTGCCTGGCTACAATAGGGGGACATTCACGAACATTTTCTAGGCTTATGGACGGCTTCTTCCACCCAGACATGTCAGGAGAGATCTTCATGATTTAGAGATATAAGCGTAAAGGAATACAAATGTATCGGGCAGGTCGGAATAAGACCATACCCTATCCATAGCAGCAGAGGAGAAGTAGCTGATTAGCAAACTTTCTGATTTTTTACGCTGAACAGACGGATTTTTTTCTGTTAAGAATTTTTTTAGGGTCCAATATAAGGCGTAATTTTTTTTAAAAAATATGTTTTCAAGTCATAACAAATCGTGGATTTTTTAAGAATATTTTTAAGGTTAATCTATCTAACTCGTGTGTAAAAAAGTGTGTAGACATTGTGTTTTATTGTGAAAAAAAAAAATAAAAAATTAATACTATTCCTTCAGGAGAAAGAAAAAACTTAAAATATCTTTTCATTTCAAAATCTACAACATAAATATCAAGACATCTATAGAGAGAGTGAAAAAAAATACATCGATATTATTTTATTTGATTTTGGAAGTCGATTTGAACACCAAAATAATCACACTTACATCCTCGTTTGCACAGACTAAAGATTTCAACTGATGTATGGGATAGACACCCATGGCAATGGCACGATGGCCGGGTGATTTTTCACCCTAATATCGTTAAGCAATTATTGTTTTTCAATTTAAATATATAAAAAAGGTAAAAGAGAAAAGTATATATATTTTTATAGAGAAGTCAAAAGATAAAGAAAATAAGGAAAAAAGAAGTTTTTTTTGAAATAATAAAAGAAGACAAATGGCGCCGAAATTTGAAGCAGCAAAATAGCGCATGGGTTTTTATATTCATTTTTCACAATTAGATATAGGAGGCAGCAGCATTTTTAAACGGATATTTTTTAGAGTAAAAAAAAAGGTAGAGAAAAAAAATTGGAAATAACATGGATTATTAACAAAATTGGATGGTTGATAAATTATGTGGAATTTTGTCAATAGATAACATAATTTATATATTTGAACAATCTCGAATTTTGATCAACATAAAATAAAATTATTTACAAAAAATGGCTTGAAAGCAAATTTTTCAAATGAAAGGAAAATTATCGATTGTGAAGATATAAATGAAGGCCAATAAAAATGTGAAAAGCAATTTCTATGGAGTTTGGGTTAGTTAGAAACATTTCCTAAGCAAGGAAAATTATTCAACTTGTTTAGGATATAAAATAAAAATAATGGAAAACACACACACATACGTGGTTAGAAAAAACACAAAATTAGAAACAACAGAAAAAATTAACAACAAAAGGGAAATCAAAAGAAATCAACAAACAAATAAAATTATTGAATTGAACAGAACAGAGAAAAGAAAAATATAAGCTATTTTCATACCAAGTTCCGACAAGTTTCGGTGTGATGTGACTTCTATGCAATGTGGAGCGGAAAAATAATGAAACATTTTGTTTGTCGATTCGATTTACGGAATACAGGGAAAGTAGCCATTACAGTTATAACATTATAGTATGTGTTTGGACACACGCACACATACACACAGAGAGATTATATGAAAACAATAATAATAAAAAATATGAGAAAAAGAGAAAAAAGAAGAAAAAATTCTGGTGATATTTTTTCAACACACTCACACTACTAAAACAAAAAAATTATAAAACTAAACTAATTAACTTATAATATTTTTTGTTTTCCTACTTTCTTTTAATTGGTTGTTAGTTACTTAAATTAAAAAGTGTTTTTACAATAATAATAAAAAATAATAAAATATTTTATTTTTAATTACTCAAGCTAAAGCTACTTAAGATAAGCTTAATTAGATTACAAAGTGGAGGGTGGGGTGGAGTAAGGCAAAGGGTGCTGTGGGGGATTTTAGTGTTGGTGAGGGGAAATGTGTGACCATAGCGTAAGGATGTTGGCGGGGGGAATTGCAGTTTCTCAACATAAAAAAATAAATCGAGATTGTTTTTTTTTCTTTTTTTGATTATATTTGAAAATTTTTGTAACGGAGAAAAATGACTTAATATTAACTAGAGATTTATAAATATTATCGATAAACTACACCAATTCTGAATACAATATTTTTTCGAAATATCATTTTAAAGAATATTTTACAAAGGTCAATAAAAGGTCCATTGACTTTTCAAGAATATTTGTTAAGGTCTATCTTAAGCCCTGAATTTTTAAAATCAAATTTTCAAGGACTATCTGAAGTCGTGGATTTTTAAAGTCAAATTTTCAAGGACTATCTGAAGGCGTGGATCTTTTAAACATTATTTTAAAGGACTATCTGAAGGCGTGGATTTTTTAAACATTATTTTAAAGGACTATCTGAAGGCGTGGATTTTTTAAACATTATTTTAAAGGACTATCTGAAGGCGTGGATTTTTTAAACATTATTTTAAAGGACTATCTGAAGGCGTGGATTTTTTAAACATTATTTTAAAGGACTATCTGAAGGCGTGGATTTTTTAAACATTATTTTAAAGGACTATCTGAAGGCGTGGATTTTTTAAACATTATTTTAAAGGACTATCTGAAGGCGTGGATTTTTTAAACATTATTTTAAAGGACTATCTGAGGGCTTGGGTTATAAAAAAATTAATTTAAAGGACTATCTGAGGGCTTGGATTATAAAAAAAAATTAATTTAAAGGACTATCTGAGGGCTTGGATTATAAAAAAAAATTAATTTAAAGGACTATCTGAGGGCTTGGATTATAAAAAAAAAATAATTTAAAGGACTATCTGAGGGCTTGGGTTATAAAAAAATTAATTTAAGGACTATCTGAGGGCTTGGATTATAAAAAAAAATTAATTTAAAGGACTATCTGAGGGCTTGGATTATAAAAAAAAATTAATTTAAAGGACTATCTGAGGGCTTGGGTTATAAAAAAATTAATTTATAGGACTATCTGAGGGCTTGGATTATAAAAAAAAATAATTTAAAGGACTATCTGAGGGCTTGGGTTATAAAAAAATTAATTTAAGGACTATCTGAGGGCTTGGATTATAAAAAAAAATAATTTAAAGGACTATCTGAGGGCTTGGGTTATAAAAAAATTAATTTAAAGGACTATCTGAGGGCTTGGATTATAAAAAAAATAATTTAAAGGACTATCTGAGGGCTTGGGTTATAAAAAAATTAATTTAAGGACAATCTGAGGGCTTGGATTATAAAAAAAAATTAATTTAAAGGACTATCTGAGGGCTTGGGTTATAAAAAAATTAATTTAAAGGACTATCTGAGGGCTTGGGTTATAAAAAATTAATTTAAGGGAATATCTGAGGGTTTGGGTTATAAAAAATTAATTTAAGGGAATATCTGAGGGCTTGGGTTATAAAAAAATATTTTGAAAGACTATCTGAGGGCTTGGGTTATAAAAAATTCTTTTAAAGGACTATCTGAGGGCTTGGGTTATAAACAATTATTTTAAAGGGCTTTAAAGGGACTGTCTGAGGGCTTGGGTTGTAAAAAAATTAATTTAAGGACTATCTGAGGGCTTGGGTTATAAAAAAAAATATTTTAAAGGGCTATCTGAGGGCTTGGTTTATAAAAAAATGATTTTAAAGGACTATCTGACGGATTGGGTTTTTTAATTTTCAGAATTGGTGTATTTCTTAATTTAAATTTCATAAAAAATATACCTAGACTATAACCTAAAATATTATCCCCAAAATTGATTTAATATAAAACCCTTTACTTTCATTAAAAAGAAATGAAATTCAAACTCACCTCTCTTATGGTTAATGTGTGTGACATCATTTGTATATTGACTTGGGATTGACTTGTTGGTAAATTATCGCTGGAACGCGATTTAACTAATGTTTTATTACCCGTATTTAAAACGGAACGGCTTTTCAATAGCATTTCAGTCTTTAAAAATATTCTAGAAATATATGTGGAACTACAAGGAAAAAAGAAGAAAACAAATTAATTTTCGAAAATAAAATTTAAAAGAGAAAAGTTCAAACTCACCTTAGTCCCCTAATACTAAAAGCGGCATGTAATAATTTGGCCGGTGATACTGGGATTTTTTTGCAGAATTTTATTAAAGCATTGCCAATGTCATTTTTAATATTATCTGGACTCCATTCGTTGTTCGATTGACATTCCTTATGGAATAAATTGATAATGACCAAGGCAATGCGATAAAGAACTTTAATGCCTTCATGAAAGAAACAATCCATAATGCGTACTAAATGCTGGAAGGGTAGACCAGCTAATATCCACCAGCACCAATCCATAAAAACACGTTCCAGCTTAACGCCAGGACAGATACGTTGAAAATATGAAACGGCATTTTTCTGTAAAAGAAAAGAAAAAAAAAAACAATAATAAATGTTATTAGAAAAATAATTCGAATAGAATAAATTTTTCTTACCGTATGTTTTTTGGCAATTTGCATAACTGTTTTCCATGTAACTTCATGCAATAATTTGGTTTGATTTATGAAAACTTTGTCCTTGCTACCCACCAGGGCGGCCAAACAATGGTATGCTTCTTCTTCTGCAAAAAGAGAAAAAATCGAGGAAAAAATATTAGTCATAATTGCTTATAAGTTCAAACAGTTTCTAAAGAAATTTAAATTATAAATTTAATAATAATGATTATGGTGGCGTATACGTTGTGTCGTTAATCATACGCCCACACATCCTCCTAAAAAGTATTCAATAAACAAATTACTGTCTATGACGGTCTTTAAAAAATATTAATTTTAAAAATCTACGCCTATGATGGAACTTAAAAATATTTCTTTTACAAATCCTCGCCTATGATGGAGCATAAAAACATTTTTTTTTTTAAATCTACGTTTATGATGGAACTTAAAAATGTTTCTTTTAAAAATCTGCGCCTATGATGGAACTCAAAAAATGTTTCTTTTAAAAATCTACGCCTATGATGGAGCATACAAATATATTTTTTTTAATGTACGCCTATGATGGGACTTACAAATATTTATTTTAAAAATCTACGCCTATGATAGAACCTAAAAATATTCCTTTAAAATTCTACGCCTATGATTGAACTTTAAAATATTTCTTTTACAAATCTATGCCTATGTTGGGAATAAAAAATATTTTTAAAAAATTTTGCACCTCGAAAAAGTTTTTAATGCATTTAATGGTCCATGAAAAAATGTTTTTTTCAAAATCCATGCCTTTCTCTATCCATTCTTAAAAAACCAACTCCTAATGTAGCTTTTAATAAAATAATTTTCAAAAAATCCACGACTATATAATTCGTTGCTTTTAGCTCGAATAATCCTTCAGATCTTGTTGGCGTATACATTACGACAGTAATTATACGCTAGGGGGGGGGGGGGGAGTACTCCAAACATATTTTTTTTATTATTAAAAAGCAAAATACTTTATGGTCATAATTATCATCACATGCTTCCCATTATTGAATAAGAAACACACACAAAGTATACAAATCGTTTGCGAGAGAAGCCAAGAAATCAAAAATTTTGTATACATTAATCGTGGCGTTTGGCTTCAGGCCAATATATTCGATAGAAAAAACGCAACAAACCAAAAACTCTGATTCTATTTTTGATGTTGTTTTTGTTGTCGATGTTTGAATATACACAGCAAACGCATAAAAAATGAAAATTACATCCATCAACGAGATTCTTATAAATTCAAAATTTAATTCGTTTGTACTCTACATCAAAAAGTTGAAATGAAAATGTGGTAGATTATTTTTATTAAATTAGATTAAGGAGATAAATTTGAAAAAATAGATTTTGGAATGAATTCAATTATATTGGCGTATACGTTGTGGCGATCATCATACGCTCTAGGGTACCTTGTGGGCAATTCAATTAAAATGAAGGACAAATTGCAGACTCAGTTTTTTTTTTTAAATAACACTCATTAGAATATAATAAAAAATAAAATGAAATAAGAATGTTAGTTTTATAAACTCTTCCTTATTTTTTTTTTAATTGATACTACAATTTGAAGCTATGACTCTATGAAAAGTTGTCCAATATTTTCGATTTTTATACCCTACACAACTATGTTGTCAGGGTATTATAGCTTTGTGCAGCCCCAAATGTTTGTAACGCCGCGAAATATTGGTCCTAGACCCACCTTTAAGTATACCGATCGTCATATCTCGACTAGCTGAGTCGATCTAGACATGTGTGTCCGTCCGTCCGTCCGTCTGTCCATTATAATTTGTAAACACGATACAGGCCACAGTTATGGACCAATCTTCACGAAATTTTGCATGTAAGATGGGTTCTGTTAATATGTAAGATGGGTTCGGTTAATATTTAGGGGATGAAATGGACCAAATACTAAATTTTTGTCGGTTTTTCTGGTCGCTCCAGAGGCCGCAATTATGGCCCAAACACCGTGAATTTTTGCATGGAGAAGGGGATCGGGCCAGAGAATAAGCATGCATGTTTTGATAAAGATCGGTCAATATTTAGCGGGTCAAATGGACCCTGACTTTTGTGTGAAAAATGACAAAATTTGTATTCTATGGCATATATATTTACTCCTGGAGGATGTAGTCCCCAGGATTTGATAGCATATCCAAGAGGAGTGGTTGGCCTTTAAATTGATACCAAATATAGTGATGTATCTACTCAGATGTGGGAGTTACAGTCAAATATTTACAGGTGCTTACGTATTCAGATATTATTTAGTAACCCATTACCACATTAGAGGGAGAAATATCGCGCTGATGGCTTTGAAATTTTTCATGAAGTTCCAGTTATGGTCAAGAACAACGCCTACAATTTTCGGTGATTATCAGATTAAAATTTTGGGATGAAATGGACGGAAAACATAATTTTTTGTGTGTTTTCGAGTAGAGTATAATCCGAAAATCACAACACAACCCACCGTGAAGGTAATCTGGACAAGTAATTAGAAGGACTGTACTGAATATTCGAAAAAAGTAAGGAAGAGGTGTTGCTAACCTCTAATCGGACAAGAGGGGGCAAATATCACGAAATATTACTCAGACTCGGAATAAACATCCTCAGAAAGTTAGAGTTCGTGGTAGTTGTGTAGGGTATCGCATGGTCGGCCCCGTCCGACTATACTGCTCCGCTCAATGGTTTATTTATTTTGACAATTTATTAAATGGATCGCAATAGAAGACAGGGAGTTCAACAATTATTATTTGCCAACATTTCATATGACTGACCCAAATTAATAACATTGTATATATATGATCCCATCTAATCGAAACAAACGTGCTAAAGTAGTATAATGAATGAAATATGTTTGCGAAAACAAACAACATCCGCTATAAATTATGTTTTATATGAATAAAATTAATTTGAATAATAAAGGCTAAAATGATTGTTATATTTCTGCTTAAAGAGCAAAACAAGTGGCAAGAAATATACAAAAAATTTTAATGGTTAAACTTATTAAAAAATATATATTTTTTTCAACCTCAAACATATAAACAATAAAATCTGAATGGAATTTTTCCAAATAAAAAAATTAGCTATAGAGGAAGAATGTATGTACATATAGAATGAATTCACACTGAGGTGATTCATAAAAAAAAAATTTGGAAAATAAAAAGTTTCCCAAATATCATGTCCAATCAACATAGAATTTATATCACATGATAATCTTAGGCCTTGTGCCAGAACAAAATGATGCGGGAAACTTAAAAACGAAGGAATGAAAATATGTTTTTCCCATGCCTAAAGCACGTGATATGTCCATAAATAAGTTTACCGTTAAATTAAACCTATGGCTGGAAGATTATGGACTAAATGGATTAAAAACTGCGGACCAATTGTAGGTATTGTATACTGTAAACTAATAAAGGTGTTTAATAAATTAACGCCTTGTATTGATCCTTAAAAAATATTAATAAAAAATCTACGCCTTATATTGGTCCTATTAAAGTGGTTGCGTATACGTTGTGTCATTAAGCATACGCTAAGACGTTCTCTTAAATGAACGAATTACTTCATGGGATATTGTAAGATATTAAAAACATATATTGAATGATGTTGTCAATAAAAAAATTAAATTTTATGTTGGAACATAAAAAATACTACGCCTATGTTTGAATATAAATAACATGTTTTGAAAAATTTACGCTTATGTTGGAATATAAAAATATTTTTGCAAAAATCTACTCCTATGTTGGAATATAAAAATATTTTCCTTGAAAAAATATTCTTTGAAAAATCCACGCCTTAATAGTCCTTGAAAAAATATTCTTTGAAAAATCCACGCCTTAATAGTCCTTGAAAAAATATTCTTTGAAAAATCCACGCCTTAATAGTCCTTGAAAAAATATTCTTTGAAAAATCCACGCCTTAATAGTCCTTGAAAAAATATTCTTTGAAAAATCCACGCCTTAATAGTCCTTGAAAAAATATTCTTTGAAAAATCCACGCCTTAGACAGACCTTGAAAAAATATTCTTTGAAAAATCCACGCCTTAAACAGACATTGAAAAAATATTCTTTGAAAAATCCACACCTATTATCTTCTTCTTGAAAAAATATTGTTTGAAAAATCCACACCTTAATAATCCATGAAAAAATATTCTTTGACAAATCCACGCCTTAATAATCCTTGAAAAAATATTCTTTGAAAAATCCACGCCTTAATAATCCTTGAAAAAATATTCTTTGACAAATCCACGCCTTAATAATCCTTGAAAAAATATTTTTTGAAAAATCCACACCTTAATAATCCTTGAAAAAATATTCTTTGAAAAATCCACACCTTAATAATCCATGAAAAAATATTCTTTGAAAAATCCACGCCTTAGGAAGCCTTGAAAAAATATTCTTTGAAAAATCCACGCCTTAGGAAGCCTGAAAGCCTTAAAAAAATATTTTTTGAAAAATCCACGCCTTAGGAAGCCTTGAAAAAATATTCTTTGAAAAATCCACGCCTTAATAGTCCTTGAAAAAATATTCTTTGAAAAATTCACGCCTTAATAATCCTTGAAAAAATATTCTTTGAAAAATCCACGCCTAAAAGTATTCTTAAAAAATTCACACAGAGAAATTTTTCTTGAATAATCCACGCCTTAAAAATATTCCATAAAAATTCCAAGCCTTGTATTAACGACTTATAAACCAGTGAGCGGAGCAATATAGTTGGACGAACATACGATAACCTACACAACTACCACGGAAATCTAACATTCTGCGGATTTTTATTTTATTTTTATTTCGTGATAGTTGCATACTCTTGCCCGATTAGAGGTCAACAGCAGCTCTTCCTTACACCGACATATTTTCTGAAATTTCTAATATTCACTACAGTTCTTCTAATTACTTGTCCAGATTCCATTCACCGTGGGTTGTGTTTTCATGTTCGGCTTATAATTGTGGGCTATAGATCGACTTCATCCCAAAATTATAATCTGATCGTCAACGAAAATTCTAGGTGTTTTTCTTGACCATAACTGGAACCTTATGGAACATTTTACATCGATCAGCATTATATTTCCGCCCTCTAGTGTGTTAATGTGCTACTAAATAATATCTGAATACGTAAGCAC